ATGGGACAACCATAATCAAAGAAGACGGTTTTCTGAAAAGCTCACCTAATGATTGGGGGATAGAGAGCAAACCAGGAATACACTTGAATGATTTGTTGAATGTCCATTGAACACCCGCAGTAGCAAATAACTTCTGACTTACTGGAATTTATTTGCAGCATCGCTAGCGTCGCCCTGTATCAACTTACTTGAAAGCCTGCTGAGACCGCCTGCAAGGCGTAGCCGCTTGCTCAACAGGGCATCCGTCGACAAGGATACACGTCGGAGGAGGACCATTATACGTTCAAGTCACTCCATCAGCGTGGGGAGAGTTCATGAGAACAAATAGAGACTATCACTGGGGCATATGGGCCTTCTTGTCCCTTAATCAAATCCGAGTCAGGGGCGTCACAGTCTCTGTACAGAAATCTGTACAAAAGATTACTTTGGGGATTTGGTCTCTTTGATTTGTACAACCCACACCAAGCTCATTTGTTGTCTGATCAATATGTCAATCTAGCAAGTGATAGCGAGTCTCGGTTGTCCATGGGAGGTCATCCCAAAGTTATTTCCTACTCCTCGGTAGAGGAACACATCATGCTAAATTCCCAGCCTGATCAGGTTGGCACCATTATGGTGATGCTTGGCCAACCGAGGGAGCAGAATGAAAATAGATGACTCGCTGTACTACCTATCTCATCTCATTCCTTGGCCAGAATCCGGTTGCACGATCTTTGGGCGCGACGTGCAGGCACCGTCACACAGCTCATGCGACTAAATGAAGCTGTGCTAAGCTTTGAGATATGTCTGTTTCCCGTCTGCCTCAGTGGACGCCTCCTCAGCCACCGTACTACCGCCGCAGGGTCAATCACGCCACGAACTTACCCCTGGGATGGTGTCGTCGAATGGGGAAACGCCAAAGACAGTCTTGCGGCAATCAATGACGAGACCTGTCTCTCAAAATCCCAGCTGAACAGCCGGCGTGGCCCCGCAAGGCTTCTTTTGGCGCCCCAGACGGCACGCTGTACAACGTTCGAAAGACAAGACTTCAATACGGTAGGGATACATATGTAGCGTTCGGTCCGAGTCCACCTGGAATGTTTGTAGAACACTCTGCCAAGGGATTGTTGTGAAATACCACGGGGCCGGCACAAGATTGACTCCCAGGGCTCCCAGGGGAGTTTATGCATTCCACGCCCGCAAATGCCGGAAAATCTTAGACATTACGGCGCTCATATTGCCGACATCATCCGGCAATACCACCGTAACCCTTTCCTCACGGGGCTCAAGGTGGCGCATCCGAGTAAGACAATGTCTTACCCAGGAAAACGGCACAAGTGCGGATAGCGCGGTGTGTTCCAGACCGCGAATGACAGTAATGACCCAGTTCTACGGCCCGAGGCCGCGTCGACATATGGCAGGATATGTCAGATCGTGACGCGGCAAATGCTCTTTTGAGAACGAATGTCCGGCTGAATATGACGAGTCTTTGTGAATTGGAAGTTGCTGTCGACTCCATTCGAATTTGGATGTGCAGTTGAGAAAATGGCATTTCCGGTGCTTTACGCTTTGTTTAAGGGACTTACGGTGGTTAAGGTTCGTTTCCGAGAAACATCGCACTCCATCCTGAGCCCTTCGTGCAACAATAACACGAACCGCCTCTCTTTACGCGACTGAATTCTGATGTCTCTTGGTGCCAACCGGCATAGTCCGAGCCAAGCCAAGGACTTTTCTGTTCAACCATCCCTCTTCACCCTTCGCAAGGAGAGGTAGGGCTAGATCATGATGATCGGGAGCTATCGTCCGCAAGTAGACTCTCGGACAACAGGACAGAAGCGAAGCATCGCCTACTACTAGGCACAGATGAGGCATGAAGAGGATATTGCTGCATTCTTCGAGGTGGTTCCGTTCTTCAGGGGCGACTGTGGCATCGAAAAGCTTCAGAGAGCATTTTCAGTCTTCTATTTCCAGACAATGTCAACACGATGGCAAACGAAATCCGAGATAAAAAGACGGCAATATTGCCTCCTCAGACGACTTTCTTTTCACTCTCATCATCACAATAATCACGACATTCTTTCCTTGCCCTTGGGCCACATTCATTCTTTCAGTTTGACCTCATTTCTCTCGCTAACCGCCAGAGGTCTAGTCACTCTTTAGTAATCGCTCTTGTCACTCTCTTCGCAATGGCGCTCCGCTCTATCGCGGCCGTTGCCCTCCTGGCCCAGGGATCTGCGGCTCAGGTTCTCGGGCTCCCGCTCCCCACTCTTCCCATCAACGTCGGCCTTACCACAACGATTGCAGGCGTGGGCGTCGGTGCCAATGTCGGCAACACTGTTAGTGTCAGCATCGGTCTCGGCGGTGTTGCCACCGTTGTTGCTGGCGTGGGATCCACAATTGCCGCCTCTGTTGGTGCTGCCGGAGCCACCGTCACTGCTGGTGTCAACTCAGGAGGTGTCGCAGCCTCAGTCGGTGCTGGCGGCCTCCCGGTCACCGTCGGAGCGGGAACTAACGGAGTCGGTGTCGGTATTGGCGGTGTTGCCACCGTCGGCATCGGTGGTGGTGGTGTCAGAGTTGCTCTCCCCATCGCAACCGTCGTTGTCAACCCCGTGGGCGTTGTCTCAACCCTTCCCGGAGGAGGTGTCACGACTGTTTTCCCGTCTACAACAGTCAGCTCTGTTGCCTCAAGTGTCACCTCAACTGTGGCCGTAGCCACCTCGTCCTCAACGGCCGCAGGCAGCACAGGTGCTTCCACTGTCTCCTCCGCCACTACTGGAATCACCAGCGTGCCATCCGTCTCCACCAGCGTTGGATCTGCTACGACCTCTGTTGGCACCACCAGCATCGCCTCATCCTTCACCTCGACTGTCGTATCTACCTCCAGCTTCGTCAGTGGTAGCAGCACCATCGTGACTACCCTCTCAAGCGTCACCTCGGGCGTTACCAGTGTCCCTTCGGTCACCACGAGCATCGGATCAGGCACCTCTTCGGTCATCACCACTAGCGTTGCTTCTTCCTTCACATCCACGCTCGTGTCCACCTCGAGCTTCACCAGCGATGGCAGCACCTTTGTCACAACCATCAGCTCTACGTCTGAGGGCGTCACCAGCGTTCCCACCACGTCCACCATTGACACGCAGATTTCTTCCTCCAGCTCTACGTCCACCTCCACCTCCAGTGCTGCTGCGTCCTCCAGCGCGTCTGTCAATCCTCTGACTGTCGGTGATGCGAGCTACTTGGGCTGCTTCCGCTCTCCCACAAGCTTCCCGACCTTTGTTCTCACTCAGTCTGCTGCGTCCATGACCATCGAGCGTTGCATTGCTGCTTGCCCATCCAGCAAGTACGTCGGTCTCTTCGCCAATGATTGCTTCTGTGGCTCAACTGTGGACTCTGTCAATGAGATCTCCGTTCCTGATGACCAGTGCAACATTCCCTGCGGTGGCAACAGCGCTGAGCGTTGCGGTGGCCAGGTCGGACTGACCAGACGTCAACTCATTGGCCTCAACGTCCGCTTCACCATCTACATCCGTCTCGGACTGGCTGGTGGAACCACCGCGTCTGCGACTGTTACTACTTCTTTCACAACCACGACTACTGGAACCGTCACTTCTTGCCCTCCTGGAGTCTCGACCTGCGCCATCGGATCTCTCACCACCGGCGTTACCACTGTCACAACCACCTACTGCCCTACTGAGACTCCCGCGCCCAACCCCTGCAGCAACGGACAGTGCTACGGCCAGCCGTGCTACGGCGATGACTGCTACAAGAAGCTCGTTTGCTACGGTGACTACGTCAGCTTCGACTACCCCTGCTACGGTGATGAGTGCCGCCGTCGCCTCGTGTGCGTGGACGGGCTCTGCCACCCAGAGACTTGCAGCGGATACGACTGCGGTCGCAAGATCATCTGCAAGAGTGGACTCTGCGGATACTCTCAGTGCCAGGGAGACGAGTGCATCAAGGAGAAGGTCACCTGCTACGGCAACGCCTGCAAGATTGAGACCTGCTCAGGAGACGAGTGTTACAAGAAGTACGTCTGCACTGGCGACATGTGCGAGCACGAGACCTGTCCGTACACCGACGTCAACAAGAAGTACGAGTGCACCGACGACAAGTGCAAGGTCGTCACGCCTTGCAACGGCGACTGCCCCAAGCCCCAGCCGCCGAGCACCCTTCCGTACCCCACCGGCACCGCCCCGGCCATTCCTCCCGCCAGCCCTCCAGCGAACCCCCCGGCTGTGCCTACGGCTACTCCCCCTGTCGGACAGCCTCCTTTGAACCCTTCCGTCTCGGTCTCGCCTCCCGTCAACTCTGCTCAGCCCCCTGTTGGTGCACCTCCTTCAGGAGCACCTCCTTCCGGCCCTGCAGTTACTCCCCCGGCCGGCCAGCCTCCTTTGAACCCTTCTGTATCGGTCTCGCCTCCCGTCAACTCTGCTCAGCCCCCTGCTGGTCAGCCCCCTGCTGGTCAGCCCCCTGCCAACCCTCCCGCAGGCCAGCCCTCCGTCAACCCCACGGCACCCGGCGGTGGTGTTCCCACAGGAGGCGCCAAGCCCCCTGTTGTTACCGTTGCCGGTTCCAGCAGATCATCTGTTCCGTTCAGCTTCGTCGGCATGGCTCTGGGCGCGGTTGCTGGAGTCGTCTTCCTGTTGTAAGAGAACTCGGTGATCAAAAGACTCTTCTTCTCATGTACTGGTTCTTCAAATAGAGGAGCTTGCTTATTCACTTCTTCCAACGGGCTCTACATATGGGTTGCGTTTCTTACAATATCGGGTTCATGGTTGACTTCAGGTCTAGCTAGGAAGGTGACCTTTTCCAGACGGTTGTAGTAATTGTTCTTGGTCTATTCCACTGCTTCAAGCTCGGGTGTTCGTTGTGAATTTATATTAATCTGGGATCTGATGACTGAGATATGATGGAATTCAACGCTTTTGCAACCACCTCCGTACCGTTCCCGTGACTCTAACTACCTTTAACCTCCATCCTCTATAATCGACTATGACGATACCTGTAATATTTAAAAGTACTCAATCTTGAGCTCCTCGCCCTAGAGCCCGTATCTTTGCGCCCCAGAACCAAAGAACGACGGGGCATGGCAGTCCAACTCCTATGAACACAAATGCCAGCAGACTATTTCCCCAGCCGTATCCGAGCCTGCTAAACAGTTGTGGGGCGAATATGGGGAAAGCGAAACCAAACACGTTGGACAGCATACGTGCTGCCGCGCTTGCCGATGCAGCATGTTTGAATTCATCAATCAAGTAAGCGTTTATTGCAGAACCCGTGATGAACGTTCCGCAAGTAAAGATAGCGGCGCCGACATCCACGAAAGCCCAATGCATGCCCCTCCCTGCCGCCCATCCATACCAGAACAAACCTACGGGGAGGAGAATGACACCAATGATGAGGTAGGGCACTCGAAACTCCGGAGTTGTCTCGCCATTGGATATGTCTCGGAGGCGTCGAAAAATGTAGTCCATGAGTGGACCTCCAGCCTGCGAAGAGATTGTGATGCCGATGGCTAGAGCAATGTAGTTGAGCGTACTTTGGGTTTGTGATTGGCCGTATTTGTCCATCCAAAGGCTGGCAAATGACGAGAGAACGAGCACGTAGAGACCGAAGCTGATTGCCCAAATCCATGATATAATCAGGATGATTGGACGACTGGTTAGGATTATCATCGGTCTGAGAAGATGGATGGATAGTCCCTTGGAAAGCCCCCTGTGGACAACTCCGGTCCCGGGCTGATCGAAGCAACTGCGGCTGCTCGGGAATTGACTTTTAAGTCTGCGCTGAAGCAAGATCGGTGTGTAGGTCTCATGGACTAAGAAGTATGCGATGAAAGTGTTTCCTGCTGAGAATATGGACAATATCCAGAACAGCCACCGCCACTCGATGTGATCTGACACAAGCCCGCCAACGATGGGGCCGAGCGCGGGGCCAAAGTAAGGGATGAACGATGCTATTGCAAGAGATTTACCACGGTCTTTGGCCCGGTACATGTCAGCCATGATGGGACCTGTCAACTATCAACCATCGTCAGTTCATGCCTAGGTATGTAGGAATTAGTGAGAATGTAATCGGGGTTCAAATACCACTACACCAGCACTGGCTCCGCAACCGGACAGGAACCTTCCGGCAATCATCAACGGCGCACTCTTTCCGACGGGACATAGTGCATTCCAAAGCTGATAGAAGCAACACGAACCGATCCAGACAGGCTTTCTCCCATACATCTCAGACAAAGCTGCGATTAGGAAAGGGGCAAGTGCTTGGCCCAAAACGAATAGCGAGAAGGTGATTTGTGTTGTGGTAGCACTGATACCAAGATCTCGCGATATTTGTGGTAGAGCGGATGCCATCATGCTGGTTGACATGAGAGTGATCAACTGCCCAGTTGAAATCAGTACCGCAATTGTAATCTTGCGATGCGTCGGCCAGTTGTAGGGATCATGGGGGTCATCTAGACCTTCCCAAGTTGCCTATTCACGAACAGAACATGTGAGCGATTGCCGCCGCAAATGATGTGATAAATTGAGCCCTTACCCCCTGATCCTGATACAATTGTTGTAGTCTCCCCTTAACAGCCTCATCTGCGGCTATTGTTGGTACCGTGGTTACAACCTTGTATTGGTCGCCTCCACTCGCATTATTAATCTCCATGTCGTCGAGATGACCATGTCCCTTATGATCCATACTTTATGAATTCAAACGCGCAAAAGGTGGTCCGGGTTGAAGTTTTTGGCGAAATAAACGGCCGTCCGGCAGAGCAGTGTGGTAATCTGTTAGAAGAACCTCGAGTATTTATATTCGTAGAGCCAGTCTTACGTCGATGACCGACTGATACTCGGCTCCGAGGCCCAGAAGTCGGAATCCTACATCGTCCCCCTGATCAGCTTGAGCCCAGGCTGCATGAGACTAAGCCCTCCGTATTTTGATGAACTTCAGATTGAAGTAAATTCACATCTCGATGCTTTCAGATCCGAATCTTCAAAGACAATACATAGACCCAAGCATTTTCCTGAATATTGACTCAACTGGAGGTGTATCTTTAGGGATATCAGAGAAGCATTCCAGAATAGTTTTTCGTTCAATAATAATAGAAAGTACGCATCTTCTCCTTTGGCTCGTACGTGGTACCTTAAACAATGACTTGATTAGGAAAGTGAAAAGAAGAACTAAGTGCAAGAGTCAACGACCAGCACAATGCTGACTTCCGAGTAAGATGATGTAGAGGGTACGAGCATCCAATATCAAAGATAGTTTCCCTGTCAATTTTGTCTCCTGTTTATAGCGACCCAGGCCACTCACACCCTGAATATTCAGTCTCCGATGATGATCAATTGTCGAGTCTGCAATGTCTTCGGCGATCATGGCTGTACCGATTACTTGAAATCTCGCGTAGCTTTCGGTACTGCGATCCACCTTTCGCCTGCCTGTTGGCCTCACGAGCAAAGCCGTCTTGGTGCCTCCAACCCAGCATACAATGTCTCCCAGCGCTGCTTTGCTTGGAACGACCCCCATTTTCCACTCAGGACTTTGATCAGAGTGACGACCAGTCTGCAGCTGATACAGGAGAGTTTCAGAGCCTTGAGAGTCCTCGGTGATGTCATACGATGAATGGTCGGGGTGGCTTGAGGAGCTTCCAGGAGATCCCAATATGTGCTTGTTTTGCTCCATCCAATATAGCAAATTGCTCACAGGGTAATTGCGATCAATTCGATCCTCCCAGATGACAAGACTAGATTGATTGAAGCACATTTGTCCAATGACCCTGTCCTCTTTGTTCAAGATAGCCCCTATAAGATCGTCGCTCTGCCTGCAGGCATTTCCAAGATCGTCTCCGTAGTTGGTTTGGACCCCATGGGACCACTCGTCGACTTTATCTAGATTGCCAGCCACGTCTTTCACTGAAGGGCCTAGAGATCGAATAGTTCCAAGGAGATATCCAGTCAATTTGAATGCGTGGGGGTGTATATATCCATATTGGAGTGAGATAAGTTGTCTCTCAGGTTCTGCAACATAGGGTCTCAAGATTTGTTGAATGGGTGTGCTTCGTGTCCCCATGAGAAGGAATTTAACCAAATTTGCGTGCGATAAAATATCAAGTTCATTCTCATCATCGAACATGCTTCGGCTGTTCATGAACCCCATCGTTTCGGTCCAAATTTGAATCACTGACTTGTCATAGTCTGGGCTGGGGTAACCATTGCCATCCACTGCTAGACCAATCAGCCCAAAGATCTTATCTTTTGGGTCTTGGCATCGAGACTTCTGGTGATCGTGAAGAAGACGTCTCAAAGTATGAGAACCCTGGTATTTCTGTTCGACTTGCTGGTTTAATCGAAGTGGCCCTTCATTCGTGACGCTGTGGTGGGTCATCATCCTGATGAAATTACCCCAACTCAACTCCATGTTTCCAAAGCAGACCCGCCTCTGCCTAGCATGTCCGATCTCTTGAATGATCCAGACTCGGTTCCAGTACTCGTCTTTCGCCAACCGAAGCACCATTTCGCGCTCGCATTCCAAATTTGTCGCATGTTCGTCGTTGGCCTCGCCGGATTCCGTCGCAGTGGTCGGGCTTTCATCCATCGAGCTCTCTTCTGGAGCAAAGCGAGCCTCAAGAGGGCCCATTCCCTCTTGGAATTGTGAATAAGTACTTCCCAACCAAACAACGACTGTTTGTGCTCTGAAGTAAATATGTCTCATAATGGCAACCTGCCTGTTGCGCTCCTGCACATTCGCTTGGTCAATGCAGATCGCGTCAACCCACAGAAGTCCGCCATTGCCTCTATTCTGGAGGTAGAGCAGAGCATCATAAAGATTCCTCCTCACGACGAATGGATGACCATTGAGCACAATCGTGTGCACAGGAGCCTCTTCGCCCCATCTGTATGACAGAGCTTCGTAGCTTGGCTTTTCACCGAATGCAATATGATTCAAGGCGCAACTTATGGTAGGGTCGCTGTCATTTTTCGCAGGGTGAATACTCAAGAATCTCGTGCAGTCGACCCCTTTTTCCAAGGGCTAATATTGGAAAGACGCGGTCTTGTCTATCAGTTTCGGTTCAGAGCGGCGTTTCGACTCGTTGGCTGACATCGCTGATGGAATATTCGTAACAGCTTCCCAGATCTTTCAGAAGCTAGACACGAGTCCCGTGTTAAAAGCTCACGCGTAGTAACTAGACAAGATTAAATGAAAACTTTAAGAGTTTTATTATTAGGGCAGTATTATTTAGCTATTAGGGTAATAATTTACTTTTATTTAGTCCGTGTGACTAATTAGAGACTACTAATTTTTAGCGTACCTTCCCTAGCCTACTTCCCGTACTTACCGCGCGGGCCTAAGCTTATAACTTAGTACGTACTACTACTTTTACCTACCTAATTACTTACCTACTTAATTTAACTTACTTCTATTTCTACTTCTACTTAACTACTTCTATTTCTAACCTCTATTACTATATTATTACCGTCGCATAGTTAATTAATAATAGATTTATTACGAATTTTAATATTAGTAATCGATTTAAAAGACTTTTATAATACTACTAATATTTTTTTATATATTAAAAACTTATTAAAAGACTGCGCGCCCGTTAATTTAATTAACGATTTTATAGCTAACCTCTAGTTATTCGCCCATAACTACGGCTTTATAATTATTTATTATAACGTATTTAATTACGTTAATAGCTAGGCTATTTATTATATTTTATAATATAACTATAATACCGTTTATTAAACCCGTACTATTAACTTTTACTAATTAAAGATATAAAAAGTCGGCTACTTTTAATAAGTATTACGGCTAGCTAGTCATAATAAGTATATTAACAAAAGTTAAGGCTACGAGTACTAAGTAAATAGTATCGTAGTTATAGATAGCTTCCCTAAAGCTATATTTATAAGTCGTAAGGTAAGTAAGGCTTTAATAATTAATCGTAGTCTTATTAAAAAGGGTTCTTAGTAAAAATAGCTAAAAGCGATCGTAAGATCTAATACTAAGTTAATTACTAAAAAAGTTATAAGAAGTCTATCCTTAAGCCCGGCTTAAGTCTATATTATATATAAATCTCGTTTTTAAATATATTTTTTATAATATTCCTATTTACTATTATTTAACTATTTACCGGACGGTCGTCCGTCCTACTTATTTACGATCGTCCGTCCTACTTATTTATAAGCGTTCGTTTTTTATCTTATTATATAATCGTAGTTACGTAACTTATTTATAGTTTTTCTATCCCGAGAAGAGTTACCCTAAGTTCGTATTTTTATATATATAGTATAGTAGCCGCTATAGGTCCCGTAGGGCGGGGCCCTAGCCTTATTATACATATTAAGTTATAATATTAGCTTCTCCTCTTAAAAGTCTAGTCCTTTAGGCCTATAAGTAGGTCGTCTATTCTTAAGTTAGGGAATTGTTAAGTATTTTTTTAAAATATACTAATACGATATTAGGTCGAATTAAAAAATCGAAATCTTTAATAGCTACGTCTCGTTATAAATTATTATATATTATTCGTTTCTTTAACGAGGGTATAAAAATAATACTTTATTTAAATTATCGCTCGCGGGGGGTCCGTTATTTAGTTCTTTTTAATTCTGAGGTTTATAGAATATATTACTATTTAGGTATTTCGTACAATACTTCTATTAATATTATTTATATTCGTAAGTATTATATTTTTATTTATTAAGTCTTGGCTAATTGGGTATAGTTAGTTAGTTAGTAACGGAGTTTAATTATCTTAATTATAAAAAAAAAGTAGAAAAGTTATAGTTTTAAAAAAGAGCTACGGAGTTATAAAAAAAGGCTAAGGCTTATTAGTAGGCTTAGGCTAAGTTAAATAAGTCGTTATCTAAGTTAGAGCGTCTTCGTTTTTAAAAGTAAATAGTATTTAAAAAGAGTCGGATTATATTAGAGGAGTTCCTTAAGGATTCTAAAAATATTTCCTTAGTAGCTCGTAAGGTATAGGCTAATAGTACTTTTAGGATTATTAATTAGGACGCCGTAATAGCTAGGAGTTCTAGGTTTAATTTTAACTTTAGTACCCCTCGAGAAGTTATTAAGAGTTCCGGAGGTTCGTAATAGGTTCCTATATATTCTCTTTATATCCGTAGTTTTTCTATTTAATAAGGTATTCCTTCTTATTATCCTTTATTCTATAGTTAATAATTCGTTTAACTTTATATTCTAATTAGTTTAGTTTAATAATAATATAATCTTCTATATATAAACTTCTTAGTATAGGCTCGAGTAATAAGATATAAAAGACGGGATAATATCGTATTATATTTAGTAGTCTTAATTCGTAATTAACTAGTAAGACTTTTTTAATAATTTTAAAAGGTCTAAGTTTTTTATAGTTTAATTTATTACTTAGTTATTTCGTTTTAATATTATAGCGAAGGAGATAGGTACTATCCCCCTTTTCTAAGGATAGTCCTCTAATCCTTAATCTATTTATATTTTTCTTTATATACTATTATACGAACTCGAAGTTTAATAAGGCTTACCTATAGATCTCTTTAAGTTTACTTACGTCTACTATAGCTTTTATAGCTTATAGTCCTTATTATACTTCTCTATATATAGTTAGTTAGAATCTATAGTTAAGGTAGAACGGGGATTCTTTTATACTTTCGCTAACTATATTATTATATACGAACTAGGCTATTAGTAAAAGTACTACCTAATTATCCTAGTCGTAGTTTATATAATAACGAAGGTATATCTCGAGGATCTAGTTAATCCTTTTTATTTATCTATCGGTTTATAAATAAAATAATATCGATAGTTTATAATCTATACTAAGTTACGAAATTAGAGATTTCTAAAACTTTAAAATAAATAGCTTATCTCTATTAGAAATAATTTCTTTTAGTAAACCGTAGTTTAAAAATATAACCTTAATAAATATATATACTAAGTCTTCTATAGTACTTAATTCTTTATAAGGAATAAAATATGCGAATTTAGTAAGTCGATCGACTATAACTAAGATATTATCGTACTATACTTTAGTAAATAGTTCCTTAGATTTTAGTAGTTTAATAATAAAGTCCTATATAATTAAATACTATACTTCCGTTAGTAGTTATAACGGTTATAGCTCGCTATAGGGTTTATATAAGCTATTCTTACTCTTTTTATAAATCGCGCAGTCCTTAATTACTTTTATAATTTTAATATATATAGCGGATTTATTATAATACTAGCGAATCCGTTTCTATATTTTAATAACTCCTTAGTAACCGTATACTAGTATACTATAAATTTCTATAATAAGCTTAGGGGTTATCCTTTTAGTTGGGCTAATATTAATCCTTTTAGCTATTATAAGAAGCTTCGTAGTTAATATAAGGCTACCGTCCTTCTTTTATTTAAAAATAACTTATATTTCTTTAGGGACCGTAACCTCGTAATTAGGTCTTTTACTAAGAGCGTCTACTCTACTATTTTCTAAACCTTTTTAATAAATAATTTAGAAGTTATATTTAGATAGGAATTCGCTCTATCTAACTTATCGTTTATTTAGATTCTTATTTATTATAAAGTTTATAAGGTTCTTATAGTCTATATAGACTATAACTTCGTATTTAGTTCCAGATAACTATAATCTCTATTCTCAAAATACTTCGATAATAGCTATTAGTTCTTTATTATAAATTTACTAATTTAATTCTACTCTATAAAATACCTTAGAATAGAAATAATATAAATAAAGCTTTCTTTATTCGTCCCGTTATCCTAGGACCGCTCTTATAATAAAATCTAAAGTATTAGTCTCGATTTCGAAAGGTTTTTAGGGGTCCAGGATTATAATAACTAGTTTAAAAACGACTATATTCTTAACTTTAATAAATACTTCTTCGTACTTAGGGTCCTAAATAAATAGGGTATCCTTTTATATTAAGTTATTAAGAAGTTTAACTATATTAGTATAGTCCTTAAAAAATCGTTAATAAAAGTTAATAAATCCTAAGAATCCTTATACGTCCTTAACGTTCTATAATATGGGCTAGTCCCTAACTACTTCTACCTTTAATACTTATATATAGATTTATCTTAGTATAATAATATATCTAAAGAAGTTTACTTTCTATATATAGAACTCGTACTTAGAGGGTTTAGCATATAGTTTAGTATCTTAGAACTTCTAAAATATTATATAAATATACTTCTTATATATTTCGAAGTCGGGGGAGAAAATAAGGATATTATTAATATAAATAATAATAAAAATATTAACGTACTCCCAAAGTACGTAGTTAACTATTATTTAAAAAGTTATTAGAATATTAATAAGTCCGAAGGGTATAATAAGGTATTTAAAAAGTCCTTTATAAGTTCGGAATACCGTTTTTTACTTATTTTTTTTTTTAATTCGAATTTAGTTAAATATTTTTTTAAGATCTATAGTAATAAACTAGTTAGCTCCGTAAAATAGATTTCTAAGCTCGGTAATAAGTAATAAGGGGTAGTAATTCTTTTTCATAATTTCGTTAAGTCTCCTATAGTTAATAATAAGTCTTAATTTTCTACCCTTTTTTAATATAAAGAATAAGGGGAATCTTATAGGAGAATTTAACAGTTAAATATATCCCTTTTCGAGCTTCTTATTAATATATTCGTTAAGATATTCTTATTCTTCTTAATTTATTAAGTATATTAAAAAGAACCTAGGTTGCGCTCCTTCCTTAAGTTCGATTTCTATATCCTAGCTACTATATTCTAATAATCCTATTTCTTCGGGTTCTATAAATAATTTTATATATATTTAGTACTCTTTAGGTATAGTTTAGAGTCGTTACGATCCTCGATCGTTAGTACTATATACGAACTTCCTAGAGCTTTCTACCGTTTTAATAAAAGCTATATATTATATTTATTCTCGTTTTTTAGGAGTTACTAAAAATCCGTTTAAACCCTTTTTCTTTTTAGGTCGTTTAGTAACTAGATTTTCCTAGAGGACCTAGCTAGTAGTCTAATCTATCCGTAAGTTATATTTTCGTAACTACGAGATTCTTAAGATAACGTTAATATCTCCGATCTTCGTAATATCGTATTATAGTTATTCTTACTAATTATTA